AGGAAGCTCATCGGGCCCAGCTCCCAGCTCACACTCAGCTGAACACAGCACACCTGTGACTACTGACAAGCGTCACAGAAAACCCACTAGGTGAAGCCCAGCCTAATTAACACAACTGTGAGAAAACAAAATACTTGTCGAAACTACTAAGATTTAGGGAGGTTATGCAACAATAGATACATTAAAAAAAAAAAATGACCCCAAAGAATTTGGGCCTGAGTGCCCAGAAGGATGGAGTTACCATTAACTAGATGGAAAGGGCTACTAGTTAATAGGTTTTGAGGGAAAACTTGGGTGGACAGATTAAAATCTAACTATGCTTATCAATGAAAAAGAACATATTTTTCTGGGTGTGGTGCATAAACAATGATTCTTGGAACATTGAAAAAATAAAATTATATTTAAAAAAAAGAACATATTTTTCTTAATCTATGAGAAGAACAAGATCTTCTATCATGTAAGCATTGCTGGATTTTCCAAGGCTCCTCCATTTGAGGAGCAACCTTTTGGACCCCCGACGTAACAGCAACAGCAGTGATTAAAGGAACGGATTATTTTTTTCTGTCCAGGTTCTGAAGCTCTGCTGACAATCAGTGAAATCCCCATCAGGGCCGAGAAACACTAGCCCAGTGTTTCCAGCTTCGCCACTGGGGTTTCAAGGCTCGGGGATTGACCACGTAAAGGAGAAGCCACCGTGCTTGCTCTCTCGGCTGTTTTCCACAACTGGTCACAATGAACCAACCACCTTGGGCTTGGCTGATGGGCTTCTGGAAGCTGAGTGAACAGCCTTGGATGGAGGCCCTTGCCAGTTTTAGATTTAATCCTTCCTGTGGCCATACACTTCAGAGGCAGCACTATGTGGGCAAAGAAAAACTGCCTGGTCAGTTTCGTCAGCCTGTAGGTTTCTGATGATAGGTATTTGGACTAATACCTTATAAACTTGAACCCAAATTAAGTATTGGGGAAAAGCAGTGTGTACTCCTTAAGAATTCTTAATGCTCCAGAGCAAATATTAATGTGAAAGGATTACTTTTATGCTGTCAACCTCCTGCTCACTCATTCCCAACCTGTGCAGCCTACTGCGTTTACCCACTCATCTTCATCCCTGCTTAATCAGGATTTGGGAACGGTTTAGGATGTAGCTGAAGTAAAACAACTTAATCATATTCACATGGACTCATTTCTTCTGGGCTCAACCTTTTCTTGGGCAAGTGTTCCTGGGAGGGAGGAGTAGCTCCACTCATAGTCTCCCTTCAGTCCTCCACACCACGACTAACCGCTGGCACCTTAAGTTGGATGGGAGACTGGGCTTCTTGGCACAAAGGGATTCACAATGTTGAACAATTGTAGGGTTTATGTTTAAAAAAAAAAAAAAGTTGATGTGCTTGACTTAATAAGCATTTTGTTTTCGGAAAAATGTTGGGAGGCATTTTTTTAAAATTTCACCATAAAATTATGTTGGGGATACCCAGGCTTGAGAGACGATATTCTGAAAGTGGGTGCCATATTGGTTGTTACAGTGTGGTCATCCTGGAAATGTGTTCATGACGTGGGGACACTGGATACCACTGTTTTGTCTCTTCAGATCTCTTAAAGTCATCACACACCTTTGGCTATGGTTTCTTCCGAGTACCATTAACACAATTCCAGATTCCTTCCCTGAAGGAGTCCCTCAATCCTTGATGGACTGCTGCTCTTCAGCTTGTTTTTTCCCCACCTCCTTAAAAGTATGCACCTGTCTCCAGCTGTCCGGTGCCTGGCATCACTGACCAACCTGTGAACTTCCTTCCACTTTTGTGCCACATCCAGTCTTATCACTTGGAGAATGTTCAATCAGATATGAGGGATAAAGATGGTTCATCAGGAACACATCTGCTTCCCAGACCGGGCCCAAGCAGACAGGTGAGTCCACCCTCTCAGCAGAAGAGGGTATAAAGGCCCATCAAGGCCTCCTGGCCAAGGAGAATGGAATGTTTCTTAGCTTCAAGTCCTTAAGAAGCAATCCTGTGACAAAGTGGCAAGTGCAAGTAGTTTGTCTGGGAGATGACCACAGGACACACAAATAGGGGAACGAAGAAGGGTACAAGAAAGGGAAGAAGGCCAACATGAGGTGTATTAATAAGTCAACTACCACAGAGGGGAACTGAAGCCTAATTTCTGTGGGAAATCTCTCAAAAACAAGGTAAAACACGTACCCCAGACTTATACCACCCACAAAGCAAGGGAGTTGAGCATATTAATACAACTCCTGTTCATCACTGGTTGAGAGCTGCTTCTGGGGCATGCTAATTCCTGGGCATTTCTGGTCTGCTGTGTGCAGGGACAGTGCAGGTTTCTATAGTTCCAGAACAAGTCCTCAGGCATAGAGGTGCAGATGTTAGCCACTGAACGTTTTCTGGGCCACTCTGAACTGGAGGATCGATGGACAATGACAGTGGTCTGCTCTAGGACCCCTGCTCAGCTGGCTTTCATTGGCAAATCAGACCTTGGCACGGTGCTCACTGTGCGGATCTGTGGCCGGAAAAAACAGAAGCTGACTATACGGTTAGTCCTGGGATAGGTTTCTATAGAACACTAAGGATAGAATATATGTACTGAACAGCAGTAGCCGAACCAATAATAAATGAGGTAATTCTTATAAGTCTGGACATCCTTCTAGGATAGTCTTAAGTGAACACAGCAGGTTATGTAAACCCATTTTGGTGTTAAAAACAGAAAATTCATGCATAAAAAGTCTAGGGATACAAGATAAAGTGTTATTAAATATTGTCTCTAGGGAAGTGGGGTTATGAGTTCATTTTTGTTGGGCTGTTTTTTTTTTTTTTATTTCCTTATCTATTTTCTGATTTTTTGTAGTGAGCATGAATTGCTTTTAAAACAATGACCAGATTTTTAAATTTATTTTCTTTTTTTTTATTATGTTAGTCACCATACAGTGCATCATTTAGTTTTTGACGTAGTATTCCATAATTGTTTGTGTATTAACACCCAGTGCTCCAGATTTTTTTTAAAAATTCAACAATAATTTAACACAATCTCAAGATTCAAGAATAATTTCAGGACTTTTCTAAATGTTCCCTTCTTCACAACATCCTTTCCTCCCTCCCCCCTCTTACTTGTGCTTCAGAACAGAATAATAACCCCACTTATTTGCAGGTGAACAATGTACCATCATCACTCTCAAACATGGGACACAGTGAGCAATTAGGCAAAAAAGACTTTTGAGCAGCCAAAGAGAGGTCCCCACAGCTATGAGCTAAAAGTCATCTATTTTGCTCATAGACAAGTGCCACAGACTAGCATTTAGGACTTATTTACACATACTTTGTCCACAATTCTAACAGACATTGCTGTCAGACTTCAACTTCACAATTCAAAGCAGCAAGGAAAAGAGGAGGAAGGGCCTGCCCTCATCAGACACACAGGAGGCAGACAGAAGAAGCAGAGCTGACAAGCGAGGAGGATGGGCCCAGGCAAGGCCTTCAGGCCTCGGCACTCAGCACCAGTGCTGCGGGTTCCTGCAGGTAGAGCACATGCCTTCCATTTCCTGGCCGCTTCCAGAAAACTCCCGTTGCCAAACCCAGAGCAGGATCACAGGGTTAGCCTTGAGGAATCCAGACCAGGCTTACTTATACTCAAGAGAACCAAGCATCCAACCATTAGGGCTTAAAGAGAAGTAGAAAATAGGCCTATAGTAAAGATCATCCATGTTAAAATACTGCTTCAGCATCTTGATGATATAAGGCAGACTAGGGAATGAAATTACTTTCTTATCTTTCAACCCTTTCTACTCTTGTGTGAAATGAGGTAGATTATCCTCTGGTTCCAGAATCTGCTCTTTAATATCTGAACTAATCACTAAGGAACTTACACCACCCATTATGTTTTTGCCTCCATGATTCTGTCACTTTTTTTTTTTGCCTCCTGGTTTGACACTATTCCTTAAATTAAAAAAAAAAAAAAATTAGGAATTGGAGAATAAAGCCTCTCTTACACTGACCAGTTTTTAAACTCTTCATAAAAGCGGTCTTAAACAAGCCCAAACTTTTAAATATGAGTAGAATAAAGTCAAAAGAAGATGAAAAGAAATGGCATTCCTGGTGAAGTAGGTCAGGTGATTTTCAGACTCCAAAGTGTCCTGATAGTTTTATGTGATCCAGTCCAGTTCCTCAAAAAACCCTGCCAACAGGTAACAGGTCTTTTTGAAAGCTTTTGAAGCCAAAGGCTCCCCACCAGCCAGCCCATCGCTTACTAAGTTCTCAGCCTCATTAAGAATGAGAAACAGATACCATGGCACCAACCTGTCTACAGGAACACAGCGAGACAAATGTAATTGCCTGTACAAGGAATATAAATCAGTAACTCCCAAATCATTCATATTTACACCCACTCCATTTTGGTTGTCTTTCCTTTATAATTTGGCCATACATCGATGTCGAGTGTATAATTTCATCTGGGGCTTTATCAGTTACTGCCCAGGGCCATGATTATATGGTGCAGGGAACTTCCTCTCCCTGAGGGAGACTATCTTTAGTATCTTCTTGATAGCCACTTCTTAGACACAAAATCAAAAGAAAAGTCTTGGTTTCCTTATGTGGCTCCAGAATCACTAAATATAACATTTAGAAACAATTTATCAACTGAAACTGTTGGGTTTTCAGCTGCCACTACAATTTTCCAAAGCAGGGAGTTCTTATTCCTCCCCTTTATGTTCTTTATCAACCTGCAATAAAAACTTTAGGATCTTGATACTGACCTCTCAATCATGAACAAAGCTCAACTTTCATCTTGTTAGTGTCCAGCCTAACTTGCATAAAGACTGGTTTTGAACTATCAGAACCATAGCAAAAGAAAAAATAAATAAATAAAGGTATGATTTCTGCAAGAAGTAACTTTTTACAAATAAAATAAAAAATGGCTCTCCAATCTAGGATTCAAAAGATAATTTATTAGTCTGAGAAGAGGAATCACACACTACACTCAGTAATACGCTTCTTTTATTTTTGTGCCTTTATCTTAAAAATATATTTAAACAAGAAACAAAGATAATATTGAATTTTCCCATAAATTTTGCTTTCTTATTTACAGTGTTACATTGTAAATAACATTCCATTATACACAAATTAAGGACTGTGCATTCCTGTATGCTCTCTTTACATATTCTCTCATAATATAGTACATATAGCTCGAAGATATGCAGTATTTAATTAAGCTTAGAAAAGCTTGAGGAAAGAAGTACAAACTTTATCAATAAGACTATTATTTAAAAAGGTTCTGACCTTAATTCTCTGCTAGATTGTTTCACTGAAACCATTCTTTGTTAAAGAAAAATGCCCCATATGAGGGATGAGAATAACAGTTTAAGTTAGCACAGGATCCACTTAAACTGGTTAACAAATAAAAACACTTTATCACTTAGTACTGTTATTAAATGGAGCACTACCACTGTCAACTCATTTAAACGAGATTTACTCTTCAGCTCAGACACATTACACCAACGACAGCTGGTACCTCTGTATGAAATCAAAAATGTTTCCTTTGCAACTTTAGGTTTTACTTGTAAACAGTAAAGCACACGTTTCGTAAAGGTGATTTAATCATTGCAGGTCTTAGGTGACACGATAAGGAGTTTGTATTTCATCGAGGGAGAAGCAACTGCACACACTGCACACACGCACACACACGCACACACTCAGGCCCGCAGGTCACCAAGCGCTAACTACAGCAGCACTAGTGTCGCGAGCGGTTCACGAGGCTGCAAGAGGGATTATAAAATGGCAAAGATAAAACATCCAACTTCAGTTTAAAACCCCCGAAATGCTCAGGCTCTGAAATGTCTCTTGGACGCTTCACGCTCGGCCTGAAGGGTCAGTTCACCGGGCTCTCCAGGCGGCAAACCCCACCTTCGATTGCCACGGACTGTCCGGCCACTGCACCAGGAGGGAGTCTTGAAATGTGAGTCTGCAGAGAGGGAGACAGGAGAGCATTAGAAGGGCCAACTGTGTCCTCCCATAAGTGACGAGGGCAGAGGAAGTACTAGAATGCCACAGCCTCTCTTTGCGTCTCAGGATCTCCAGACCGTGACGGTGGTGACTGTTCAGTGCAGAGAGATCCTGTTTGGTCAAATCTTGCAGGAGATGTTTAGTGAGCATCTACTACCTGCTAAACATAGCACTAGCAATGGCAAGTACAGAATGAACAAGATAGCAAAGGCTCCTGAGGGCACAGAACTTACATTTTCATCATATTCAGAACAGTAATTAATGGTTTTAAGGTCAATTTTATTGATCATATTCTAGTTCTCTGAAAAGCAATAATTTATATACATTTTGTCTTCCAAAGCAACTGAGAATACCTGATTCACATTTACGTTTTACTCCCTAAGGGATCGGAATAGATTGCAAAAATTCCAATAATTCAACAACCTCAAAAGTGAGGCAATGAGACTGAAAGAAAAATAGGAGCTTACAAAATAAGGTAAAGACAGGCATGAGATTAACACACAAACTCTCGCCTGACTTGTGTATCCATGATGGAGACAGCCTGCTGCCCCATCTCTCAGCTTCCTCTTTCCATAACCAGAGAGGTGGTTCATGTGTATCCAAAATCACAACAAACCAACTGCTCACAAGGGAACAACTATTCCTGGTACAAGGCCTGGGAACTATTTCTTTTACGGGGCTTTATACACAGAAGGTACCACGATTAGTGGGTGAGTGACGACATCAGTTGTACAACAAGGAGTTTTGTAGGGCTGAGTGTTAGCTTTACTCAAAGGACGCTGCCTCTGATAGAAAACAGTAAAAGCTGTTCCATAAGGAGTCAGGACAACGTCAGCCAGGAATTCCTTTTTTTGATGATCTGGCTTAATCCAGGGATAGATAAATGCTGGGAGCTTCTAAGAAGAACAGAAGGACTGCATATCCCTTAGGTAATCCTCTCTAGTGGACAAGCCTAGAGTGGGAATGACGTCCTCTCATGCAACCAAATATGAAACGAGCCTATGTTTTAGGTGGAATGACAGCTAGCTAACTGATTTGTAGTTTGAGGGTAGACAGTATTCTTGAACCTCAATCCCCAAGTCCTGTTAGAGGAACTGACATAAGTCAAGAATTTGGAAAGTTCTAGAGAATAGCAAACATTTTATGGGCACTGAGTTTTTCCATGTGCAAGGCAGGAAGCAACCTGTAACCTACAAGGGTGAGGTCTGTTGCCTCAGGTAGCGAGCTGGGTGAGGCAGTCTCTGTGGTATCTCCTGGGATATAAGTACCAGTGAGTTCACTCACAAGGCTCATGGTTTTGGGAACTGTGTCCCAGAATCTGGGCTCATTATTACATCTGACGGCCAAACTTGGATCTCACCATATGGAAATATTGCACCTGAGGAATCCACAGTAGAAAAGCTGTGGCTCTTTTGTTTCTTGTGATACATCATTAACCTAGCAGGAGTTAGAACAGAGTGCATTGTTTAATTCCGCTACCCAGCAGTCTTTGTCACATCAGGCACAAGAATCTTAATTCTCACAATTCCCAGGGCTCAATGTTGATGGAGCTGTTGTTCTTCCAGGAATTCCTTAACATGAGGCAAAAGAGAATTTTTCCCCCAGGTATCATTCATCAGTTGTTTTTTTTTTTTTTTTTTTAATTCTTCTAAACAGACAAAAAAATCCCTGAAAGAGTAGAAGTCCCTCAGTCAATTTCATTCCTAATCTCATCCTCTTTGGTCATGAACACAGTCATGCAGCTATGACAGGGATCAAGAATGAGGCAAAACCCTGGTGGAAAACAGGATGGGAGTTCCCAGAAGAAGTAAACATAAAATTACCATATCATCCAACAATTCCACTTATGGATATATACCCCAAACAAGTGAAAGCAGGGACACAATAGTCAAAAGGTGGAAACAACCCAAGAGTTCATAAACAAAATGTAATGTAATATTATTTGGAATATTATTTGACCCTAAAAAGGAAGGAAATAATAATATTATTTGGAATATTATTTGACCCTAAAAATGAAGGAAACTCTGACACATGCTACAACATGAATGAACTTTGAAGATATTATGCTAAGTGAAATAAGCCAAGTACAAAAAAACAAATATTGTAGAGTTCCACTTACATGAGGTATTAGTTAAGTTCATAGAGACAGGAAATAGGATGGTGGCTGCCAGGCGCTGGGGGAGAGGGAATGGACAGTACCGTTTAGTGGGTATAAATTTTCAGTCTGAGAAGATGAGAAAGTTCTGGAGATGGATGGTGGTGATGGTTACACAACAATATGAATGTACTAAATGCCACTGAACTCTGCATTCAAAAATGGTTAACATGGTAAATTTCGTTATGCATATTTTACCATAATAATAATAAAGAAAAAAGAATAAAGCAGAAATGACAATTTCCTACCCAGTGGAGAATAATACTCCATATGATAATATTAAGAAAAAAGGCTAGCTGGGAATGAATCTACAAGGCAGATCCCCATAGAAGAAACATTAACACCATCAGGTTCTGTTCACAAATAGGTTGGCATTGTCCAATCAGGTCTGTTAAAATATCTGTCCCCTAAGAGAAAAGCTCAAAGGGAAATCTGTCTTCATGTTTCCCAGAGATACAGGGAGAGTCCAGTGGGACCTCCTGGCAGGCCCGGTGGTCCAGGCATCAGAGAATAAATTAATTGTTTAAAGTTCAAAGAGTGAACATATGTCCAAGCAGATGGTCTGCAACTTGACCGGGGGATGTTGGTCTTAAGGCAACTGATTTCCTGCTAACCAAGGAAAAGACTGGAGCTAAAAGGAAGAAATTCTTGCCCTATAGACTAGGAGACCTGATAGCAATCCCTTGAGATTTACAAAAACACAGATGGCCAATTCAAACTTATCTCTGACACTCCCCCCACCAGGTTTATGATAGAAGAACATCTAAATAAACCAAGCTAAACTACAAAGCATCAAGGAGAATTAGGAAGGAAAAGAAAAAGGATTGCAAAAGATGACAGAGGTCTTGAGATAGCTGTTAACAGTACATGGACAAAATATTTTGAAAATGCACTGAGATTATAAAATTTGCTATTTATGTAAGACAGAAATGCTCAACTAGACAAACTAGTTAAGATTAACTTCTCAGGGTTACCTCTTTCCCAAATCATCATCTAGTCAAGAGGGATTTTGTAATTACAAAACCCACTGGGGTCATCTTGGTGTTGAAAGTAATAAAATGGTTGACTATCTGTCCGAATGACAGTACTTCCCCAGTTTCACCCATCAATATGATCTTCTGACTCATCAGAAAATAAGTGCCCTTGGTCTGAAAACATTTGATCCAGAATGTATTTGAAGCTTTCTGTGTGTCAATGGAGCATCAAATCACATTTTAAACAGTGGGAGCTGTTTAAGAGAATGTTTTATACAAGTATTCATCTTGAAATGTTCTTTTGACATGTGGATTGGAATTCCTCTTGTAGCTAAAAAGAGACCATTTTCTACAATGAACTTATATGTCAGCACTGAAAAGTGCAATAAAGTATTTTACATTGTCTAAGTACTGTGTAGACTCTTGGGTACCCTATAAGCATTAAGAACTTAACAAGGTATCTTAAAACCATTTAAATGCAAGTGTACTTTTAGGAAAATTTATAACTAATGATAAATAGCACATAAAAATCAACATGAAATAGCAGTAATGAGTTCATTTTGGGTGGTTTTCCTCTACTTCTTGTTGCATGCCCCACTCTCTAACCATGATTCCATGTCATTTTCTGGTTCTTTCTCAAGTAAAGACTTCCTTGACAGGATTCCTAACTCAGTCTAGAAGCTCTTCTTCTAGCTCTTATGGCACCCAGCTGAGCACTTCTTGTCCTGTTATGTAACTGTCTTGGTCTTGGTCTGCTTTGAATTTTTAGCCTCTATAAGTGAAAGTCAGTAGGAGGCAGGAGCTGGTCTTACACAGGACTCTGTATTTTTTGCACTTGTCAAAGTGCTTGACCCAGAAGGCACACTCTGGAAATGCTGAGTGAAATGACTAAAACACACTCTCAAGGGGCTATACTTATGAATGCATAAAGAATCTCAAGTGTTTTAACTAGTATAACCAACTAGCTTGATTAAAAAGTCAAACTAGTTTGTCATAGCAGATTCTTTTTTTTTTTTTAAGATTTTATTTATTTATTTGACAGAGATCACAAGCAGGCAGAGAGGCAGGCAGACAGAGAGGAGGAAGCAGGCTCCCTGCTGAGCAGAGAGCCCGATGCAGGGCTCAATCCCAGGACCCTGAGATCATGACCTGAGCCTAAGGCAGCGGCTTAACACACTGAGCCACCCAGGCGCCCCCACAGCAGATTCTTTTAAATAGACATTTTTTTTTAAAGTATAGACAAACTTTTCCATTTTCCAAGTGGTTGTGTTTAGAACAGTGATGGAGCTCTAGAGTTCTCAGATGTTAACAGCTCCACACTAGTGGAACTCACTGCCTTACACATAAAATTCTCTGCTTTCTTGTGAATTCCCTGACCGACACACAAAGATCCTTGAAGTTAATATTCCTTGAAGAATTATCCACTTATAAATTAAACTAACTCAAAGCCAATATTCTTGGGCCTATATCTTGTTATAAAATCAAGTACATTATATAATAACAAATTTAGTCTAAGATTTTAAAAAGAGAAAGTTAAAGACAAAAATCACAGAAATTATATAATCCCTTGATGTACTAATCACAATCTAAGTAGTAGCTGAGACTTCCTATCATTCATATTTATGTCTTTAAATCTCTTAAGACCACCTTAGTGACTGTTCTTTTGTGGTTTCCAAGAAAGCTTGAAGCACACGATTTAATTTTAAAAGTCTCAAAGCCTTTATTTAGTGGTTGTATTTTAATTCATCTTTTCCACTCTTAGGAGAATTGTTGAGATCTGCCATAAGAGTCAAGGGAAGAGTCTCTTAAACAAATTATTATCCTCCTTTG